AATTATGATACTTAAAAAAAAAAAAGTATATGAAAATGAAGTGAGACTTGCTTAAAACAAGAAAAAAATCTGCCAATGAGATCAGAAACACAATCTTTTTGAATTAAGTTTATTTCTCGTTTTAATCATAAACTCACTTCATTTTGATATATTTGTCAGTAAACGAGACTTCATATCTCATGTCATTTTGCTTCTCAAGTTAATGTATCTTCTTGATTTAAGAATGTTTATTTATGCTGGAAAACAAGACAAAAACACAAAGATAAAAAGCTCTTACCACCTTATCTCATGTAATTATGCTTCTCAAGTTAATGCTTAATCTTGATTTAAGAATGTTTAGATATTTGTACTGGAAAACAAGAGGAAAGACTAAGTGAGAAAGCGCAGGATAACACAAGCTCTTACCACTTTAAAGTGATCCTCGTAGCTCCAGTCCGCTTGACCGTTAGGAGAAGATGCTGAGGGTCGCCCGACGGGTGAGAGATCGTCCTCGGGCTCCTGTTTGACCCTGACGGCGGGAGACGGAGCTCTCTGGGCATCTGCAGGGGCCCCGGGGTCCGAGAAGCGAACGGCTCCCGGCTGCAGCGCCAGCGTCTGCTTCCTGAGGAACTCCAACCCGTCTTCTTCCTCGCTGCCTTCATCGCCCTCCATCATCCCATCATCCTCGTCTGAGTCTCGGCCTCGTTCCTCCTCGAGTTCTGAGTCCAAACTGCTTTGATTGGAGACACAGGATGGATGTCCGGCCCTAGAAGAGCCGAGGCCCCTGCTCATGAACCCGGCCCCTGAAGCCCGAGCGGCGGCTAGAACAGCCTGCTGAGCCGCGAGCTGCTGCGCGTACATGATGTGAGCTTCACGCAGCCTGCGCTCCTTGTGCTCCATCTCCAGACGCGCCTGCTGCTGCCGCTGAAGATGCTCCATCATTTGCTCCAGCTTCACTCCTGTGGAGCCGCTGTGGGGAAACCCACCCAAACCAGCCTCCTGAGACACGGGACAGACATCAATGAGCTGAGCACTCACATCACAGCACGTCTCTTCAAAGCTATAAATGCGTAACTCAGCATGCATCTTTTTTTTTTTTTTTTTGGCAACACGATCGGCATGCTATGGGGTTCATTGATCACGTGCAAGCTTCAAACATAAACATATGGCTGCTGAAGCTAACATTAAAGGAATAGTTCAGCCAAAAATGAATTTGCTGAAATGTGTAGAATGAGTTTGTTTCTTCATCAGATTTGGAGAAATGTAGCATTGCGATGAGCACATTTTCAGCTAATTTTCATTTATGACTGAACTATTCCTTTAATGCAGAAACAACTGATAGTTTTGGAAGCATCACTTAGTTGATTGGTGTTTTAATGCAATGACAGCTTCCTTGGCTATTTTCATGGCAAGTGACAAGTTGAGGTATTATAAAAAGCAATTAAAAATCCTGTGTAAGGTTTTAAAGTTCACTTTGGATAAAAACTCTAAAGTGCATTCAGGTTTGACTCTGTTAAACATTTCTTCGAATGCGTTTGCCGAGTAATACAGTTTCCTAAGAGAACTTAAACCAGCACAATTTGAAATGTTTTGGCAACATGTTTGCAGAACCGTCACACGCCCCATCGGTCACTACTTCCAGCATTCATTGATCATGTTCATGCATTTTTGTTTTGCAAACATAAACATTTGACTGTTGTTGCAAATTCTGCTGATATCACCGACTCAACATTAATGCAAGAAGGGCCGGCAGATTTAGAATGTGCCAACAAAAATCAAATCAACAGTATATTTTTCTTACACATTTTAGGCAGATATATTTGCAGGTGTAAAATTAATTGTCATGGTAATTAACACAGAAATAGGTTTTTAATGGCTGAGAACCGGTGGCTAATGGCTCATTTAATCACAGAAAATAGAAAACAAAATCCTGCATTTAAATTAATTAGTATTTTACACAGTATTTACTCAAAATACAACATCTGAAAGCATAAAATCAATTGACAATCTCAAAATATTAACCTGGCCAATATATGAGTCTAGCAACACAATACAGCGCATTAAATACATGAAATCACGTCAGAAACCGTCTCTTTGTGTCATTTACTGCAAAACGAAAAGCTCACTTTTCTTAAAAATCTATCGGGATTGAACACTGAAAACAGACCAAAACAATTTGCAAAACGCACAAAAACTGTCAAAACCTGTGACTTCATCAGGAAAGTAAACACTTTAAATAGCAATGTTTGTTTTCTACAGTACATGACAATCAAACACTGAACTCAGTCAGATCTGGTTTTAAATCCGCAGGTTCAGCAGGACAGACGGGTTAAATAACCCGCATGCAATAAACCACGATCTTCATAGCTTAAAACAGATAGTGGCATTTCTGAAACAAAACAAGCTCAATTCGATGACTCAAATGTACTCATACTCGTACTCGTGTGGTTTAAGAGAATATAACATGACTGAAAACAGTTGAACGGCGGATCAAAGCCGAGGCCCCTAATGAAAGCAGCATGTTTGTGCATTTAGATGCATCTGGCACTCTGTGTGTGTGTGTGTGTGTGTCTGTGTGTGTGTGTGTGTGTGTGTGTGTGTGTGTGTGTG